CTTTAACCCACTAGACCCCACTTCCCTTCCGCAGCTGGGGAAAGAACCCAGGAGTCCTGGCTCCCAGCCCCCGCCCCAAGCAGTATTAGTGGGGGCTGGGAGCCACTCCTCAGTCCAGCAGGGACCCCCAACCCAGTCAGTGGGGCTCAGAGGTGCTGGTTCTCCCAGAAATGTGCCTGTTCAAACCTTGTCCATCTCTTCCGTTGCTCCACAGGTAGCCGGGGGGAGGAATGGGGGGTGGGGTGGGGTCATTGCTAATCCCCAGGTGAACGAGGGGTTGATTGGCGTTAAAATACAGCCTGGTCACTTCTGTGCCCTCGCACGGCGTCTAGCGCGGTGGCTGCGAGAGCGAGCGGCGTCCCTGGACGGAGATGCACGGCGAAGGGCGCTGGTTTTCCCTCTCCGTCTGAGGCTGGCGAGACTGACCCAGGCGCACCCTGTCTAGGGCTTGTGTCACGGTTCCAGATTGGGGGTGGCTTCGGAGAGGCCCCACAAAATTGCTTGACCAGAAGTCAGGAGTCCTGCGTTCTCTGGGAGGGGAGTGGGGGCTAGTGGTTAGAGCAGTGGTGCCTGGGAGCCAGGACTCCTGGATTCTGTCCCCGGCTCTGGGAAGGGAGTGGGGACTAGTGGGTTAGAGCAGTGGGGGCTGGGAGCCAGGACTCCTGGGTTCTATCCCCGGCTCTGGGAGGGGAGTGGGGACTAGTGGGTTAGAGCAGGGGGGCTGGGAGCTCCAGCTCCGGGAGGGGAGTGGGAACTGAATCCTGGGAAGCAGTGACTCTGAAAAGACTCGGGGTTCATAACAGCCACACAACCCAACACGAGCTCCCCGTGATCCAAATGGCTAACTGGACCCTCGGCCATATTAACCAGAGCGTCAATGCTGCTGGCAGTTCTGGGGGCAGGGACGTGGCCCCACAAAAACTAGGCGAGGGCGGGAGAACGCCTCTGCGGGCGAGAGACTTCGAGAGCTCAGCCACAGGAAGACGGAGAGGCGACCTGAGACAGTCCTTGCTACTGACGAGCTCCTGAACCTCGCAGAGAAAGAGCTGAAAAATCCGTGGCCGGCAGCTAAAACCCAAACACGTCCCCATGTGGAATAAGGCAGCACCCGTTCAACACTGTGGGTGACTGTCCATTGGAACAAACCCCTAAGGGCCGGGGTGGATTTTCCGTCTCTTGAGGCCTTCTCATCTCGATTGGCTGCCTTCTCGGAAGAGGCTTGAACCAAACACAAGTGACTGGGCTCCCTACCAGGGGAAGCGGGTGCAGCTCTCTGGCCTGGGTTATACAGGAAGGCAGACGCATCCTGGGCCGGCCGTTTAAATAGGATGAAATTCAGGAAGGACTCGTGCAAAGGACGAAGCTCAGGCAGGAGCAATCCGTCGCCCAGATACAAAGCGGGGAATGACGGCCTAGGAGGCAGTGCTGCAGAAAAGGACCCGGGGCCAAGAATGGATCACAGACGAAATATGAGTCAACAAGGTGATGCAGTGGCCAGAACCCCCCCGCGAACGTTGTTCTGGGGGGATGCAGGCGAGAGCCGGGAAGTCATTCTACCGCCGCGCTCAGCGCTGCGAAGGCCTCAGCTGTGTTCAATTCTGGGCCCCCACAAAAAGGAGGGAACGGTCCAGAAAACGCGATTGACGGGAGAGGTTGAAAAACCGGGGTTGGTTTCGTCTGGAGAAGAGAAGACAGAACAGGGACCCCGAGCACAGTTTTCGAGCACATAAAAGAGGGTTACAAAAAGCAGGGTGATCGATTCTTCTCCTTATCCGCTGCAGACAGGACAAGAAGCAATGGGATTCAATTGCAGTCACCACATGTCCTAGGAGAGCCCTTCCCGCCCGATCGATGATAATAAATAATGATTGTCATGAAACCAACCTCCATTCTGAAGGTCCCTCCGCTGCTGGCCAGTGTTCTGGCCAGCAGATCTTCTTGGAGTTAGCCTCTTAGGCTCGGCTAAAAGCCTCGCTGCAGAGCGTTGCTGGGTTGTCGTTGTTCTTAACAACGTCACTAGGCGAATTCCCCACTTTTTCTCCCGCAAAAATAGTAGACGGCTGCACGGGAAGGAGCCGTCCTGAAACTGGCGGAGATGGGGTGAAAAATCTCTGCTCACCCAAATCGATCGATTGCACCTGTCTTTCTAGCTGGGGCGCAGGTGCGGGGGGTGGGAGCCAGGACTCCTGGGTTCTATCCTTCGCTCTGGGAGGGGAGTGAGGTCCAGTGGGTTAGAGCAGGTCAGCTGGGAGTCAGGACTCCTTGATTCTATCCCCAGCTCTGGGAGGGGAGTGGGGGCTGGTGGGTTAGAGCAGGGGGGGCTGGGAGCCAGGACTCCTGGGTTCTATGTTGAGCTCTGAAAGAAAAGTGGGGTCTTATATAGTGCAGCACCATGTGTGCTAGGGCCCGATCTCTATCTGGGTTTGTGCAGCACCTGACACGACAGGGGCCCCTGATCTCAGTCAGGGTCCGTCCAGCTCCCAGCAGAATGGTGGTCCTGTAATTTTAAATCATAATAGTAATTAAAAGAGTCCACAGGCTGTTAGGTGGCTCTAAAGTTGCTGAAAACACAGCGGGGGGTGGGGAAGGTGTTGTCGGGTTTTTAAAGGGATAAAAACCAAATGCGTGGTCCAGGTTTCCCGAGTTGAGGAGTGAAAGCGAAGCAGCTAAATCCAGTTTCAAGGAAGTCAGGACCGGATCCTGGTGCAAATCCGGAGCGACCCCAGTGCAGTCACGGCTGGGTTCTGATCTCAGTGACCCTGTCCCTAAACGGGGTGAGCTGGGCTTGCAGCCAGGGATTTCGGAGCCCGAAATCTCAACCCTGCCACTGACTCATCGTGTGCCCCCGGGCACATTACTTCATCCTTCTAATTCCGCTCCCGGTGTGTCAGCAGGGCTAAGAATACCTACCTCACAGGGCTGTTGGGAGGATTAATTAGCTAATGGCTCTAATTGCTTTGAAGATAAAAAAAAAACAAAAACCCCTGCATGGAAACTGACAAGGGCTGTAAATTTCGTCTGAATAACCCAGGCCGGGAGGTCAGGTTCCTCGGGCTCCGGAATCAGGCGTCGGATCTCGGGGACCCCTGTGTAAATCTGGAGCAACCCCCACTGACACCTGTGGGGACAGGGATCTGGGAGGGGAGGGGAGTGGGAGGCTGGGAGCCAGGACTCCTGGGTTCTCTCCTCCCTGTGCAATTATCTGTTTTTCTTTTCTCCGTGTGCAGATTATCCCGATTCTTCCCCCGCTGTGACCTCCCGGATGGAGAGAGGGGAAGAGCCGAGCGTCCCGGATCTCCAGGGCTCCGAGGAAAGGGTGATCTCAGGAGGTAACCACACGCATGAGGAGTCGGAGAGACTGGCTTGGAGACTGTCCAGGAATCAACTGAGGCTGGGCTCCTTGGTTCTCTGGGAGGGGAGTGGGGTCTAGTGGTTAGAGCAAGGGGGGCTGGGAGCCAGGACTCCTGGGTTCTATACCTGGTCCTGTAGCGAGGGTGCAACCTTCACTGCTCTAACCCACCAGACCACACTCCCCTCCCAGAGCCAGCAGAGAACCCAGGAGTCCTGGCTCCCAGCCCCCCCGGCTCTAACCATTAGCCCCCACTCCCCTCCCAGACCTGGGATAGAACCCAGGAGTCCTGACACATTCTTATCATCTTTCTCTCCCCCTTTCCCCCAGCGGAGCGGACGTCGCCGGAGGACAAACCTCTCCAGGACCCCAAGGTTGCCGGCCCCAAGTGGCCGTGGGAGAACCTTTCCTGGACCCAGGCGGGCCGCCCGCCCCGCCTTGAACCCCCGTCCTCCTCTGCCCGGACCCCTGCCCCACCGCAGCGCAAGGGCGAGCGCCCCTACATCTGCAACGAGTGCGGGAAGAGCTTCACCCAGTGGTCCAAGCTGGTGCGGCACCAGCGCATCCACACGGGCGAGCGGCCCAACACTTGCACCGAGTGCGGGAAGAGCTTCACCCAGAGCTCCCACCTCGTCCAGCACCAGCGCACCCACACCGGCGAGAAGCCCTACCGCTGCTCCGAGTGCGGCAAGAGCTTCAGCTGGAGCTCCAACCTCATCCAGCACCAGCGCACCCACACCGGCGAGAAGCCCTACCAGTGCGGGGAGTGCGGCAAGGCCTTCAGCCAGAGCACCAACCTCATCAAGCACCAGCGCTCCCACACCGGCGAGAAGCCCTACCAGTGCGGCGACTGCAAGAAGAGCTTCTACCGCAGCTCCGACCTCATCCAGCACCAGATCACCCACACCGGCGAGCGGCCCTTCAAGTGCACCCAGTGCGGCAAAGGCTTCACCCAGAGCGCCAACCTGGTCAAGCACCAGAAGATCCACGCCGGGGAGAAACCCTTCCGGTGCACCGAGTGCGGGAAGACGTTCATCCAGAGCTCGGAGCTCATCCAGCACCAGCGCACCCACACCGGCGAGAAGCCCTACGAATGCCTGCAGTGCGGGAAGAGCTTCGGGCACAGCGCCACGCTGGTCAAGCACCAGCGGCTGCACATGGGGGTGGAGCCCTACAAGTGCCCCACTTGCCACAAGACCTTTGGGCTCAGTTCGGCCCTGGCCCGCCACCAGCGCTGCCACACCGAGGAGCGGCCCTACGCCTGCGCCGAGTGCGGCCAGAGCTTTAGCCTCAGCTCCAACCTCACCCTGCACATGCGGATCCACCGGGGGGAGAAGCCCTACCGGTGCGGGGAGTGCGGGAAGAGCTTCGGCATGAGCTCCACCCTGATCCGGCACCAGCGGATCCACACCGGCGAGAAGCCCTACCAGTGCGCGGAGTGCGGGAAGAGCTTCGTCCGCAGCTCCCACCTCATCCAGCACCGCCGCACCCACACCGGCGAGAAGCCCTACCGCTGCTCCGAGTGCGGCAAGGCCTTCAGCCAGAGCTCCAACCTCATCACCCACGAGCGCATCCACATGGAGGAGCGGCCCCACGTGTGCCACGAATGCGGCCAGCGCTTCGCCGAGGAGGAGGCCCTGCGGCGGCACCAGGAGGAAGGGCATAGCGGCGGGGCGGGAGGCAGGGGGCTCGGGGAGAGCCGGGAGACTTGCATCTGCAACGATTGCGGGAAAAGCTTTGGAGATAGCTCAGCGCTGGCCAAGCACCAGATAACCCATGTGTCTTGCATCTGTAACGACTGCGGGGAAAGCTTTGGAGATAGCTCAGCGTTGGCCAAGCATCAGGAGATCCATTCCTCTTGCATCTGCGATGATTGCGGGCAAAGCTTTGGAGATAGCTCAGCGCTGGCCAAGCACCAGATAACCCATGTGTCTTGCATCTGTAACGACTGCGGACAAAGCTTTGGAGATAGCTCAGCGTTGGCCAAGCACCAGGAGATCCATTCCTCTTGCATCTGCGATGATTGCGGGGAAAGCTTTGGAGATAGCTCAGTGTTGGCCAAGCACCAGGAGATCCATGCCCCGTGCATCTGCCCGGAATGCGGGCAGAGCTGTAAGGACAGCGCAGCCCTGACCCGGCACCAGATCACCCACATGCGTGAAAAGCTTTACAAGTGCCCCGACTGCGGGCAAAGCTTTGGTGACATCTCTGCCCTCACCCAGCACCAGAGGAACCACATCAGGGAAAAGCTGAGGTGCCCCGACTGCGGGCAGGGGCTCGGGGCGAGCTCGGCTCCAGGGGCCCACCAGAGAGGCTGCAACCCAACCAAGCCCTTCCACGAGTGCTCGGCGGCCGGTGCCCACGAAAGAAGCCACGCCGAGGGGGAACCCGTCCGTGACAGCTCAGAGCTTGGTGTCCACGAAAAAGGCCACCCCAGGGCGGAACCGTCCCACGTGGCTCCGGGCGTCCACCAAAGAGGCCGGCCTGCGGCAGATCCCTCCCCCACCGGCTCAGCCACTGGCAACCGCCCCGGCTCGGGTGAAATGGCCAGCCTCATCCGGCGCCCGGCCACCGAACCCTACAAGTGCCACGACTGCGGCCAGAGCTTTGCCGAGGGCTCGGGTCTCTCCCGCCACCTGGCCTCCCACCCCAAGCCCTTCCGGTGCCCGGAGTGTGGGCGTGGCTTCCCGGACGCGGCAGCCCTGGCCAAGCACCAAGAGGTCCACGCTGGAGGGGAGCCGGCCGGGCCTGGGGAGAAGAGCCGCAAGAGCTGTGCCGAGATCTCCGCCATCCTCTTGCGCCAGGGGAACCACGTGGCCGGGCGTGGCCCACGGAGGCACGCGGCAGACGACTCCCTTCCTCCCGGCGGCTTGGCCCCGGCTCGGCCCCGCCTCCAGCCCTCAGGCCACGGCCTGGCCACGGCCGCCCGCCGCGACGGGGGGATGTCTCTGGCGCGCCCGGAATGTGGCAAAGGCTCCCAGGGGGGCTCTGTGCTCCTCCAACACCTCCAGAACCACGTGGGGGACAGGGTGTGAGGCCCCCGAGGGCACCTGGCCAGTTCATAGCTCGAGACTGGGCCGGGGGTGGGGGGAGGGAGGGGGTGCCTGCTGGAATCTGGGTCGCGGGAGGGGCGTGAAGGTTTGAGGGCCCTGGGGTAGGAGGCTGGGGGCGAGGAAGGGGAGGTTGGTGGATGTGGGGGTGGCTGGTCTGGGGATCTGTTTGACGGGGATCTGGTTTGGCAATGGGAGAGGTTGCCCTGGGATCTAGGGGATCTGGTTTCGTGGGGATCGTGCCGGAATCTGGGGGAGCCTGGGTTTGCAAGGTGTTCTGCTGGGATCGGGGGGGCTGGTTTTGTAGGGGGTTGTGCTGGGATCTGGGGGGCTGGTTTTGCAGGGGATCATACTGGGATTTGGGGGGGCTGGTTTTGCAGGGAATCGTGTTGGGATCTGGGGAGGCTGGTTTTGTGGAGGATCGTGCTGGGATCTGGGGGGCTGGTTTTGCAGGGGTTTGTGCTGGGATCTGGGGGGGCTGGTTTTGTAGGGGGTCATGCTGGGATCTGGGGGGCTGGTTTTGCAGGGGGTGGGGATGGGATCTGGGGGGCTGGTTTTGTGGGGGGTTGTGCTGGGATGGGGGGCTCGTTTTGCAGGGGGTTGTGCTGGGATCTGGGGGGACTGGTTTTGCAAGGGGTGGGGGTGGGATGGGATGGGGGGGCTGGTTTTGCAGAGAGTCGTGCTGGGATCTGTCGGGGGAGTAGCTGGTTTTGCAGGGGCTCGGGCTGAGATATAATACACGGACGTGACTTAGATCATGTTGGGATCTGTTTGGGGATCCGATTTCATTGTGGGGTGCGGCGAGCTGTCCCCGGGTGGTGTCGCTTTGCGGCTGTTCCCCAGCTGCCCCGCCTCAGAGGTGGCTGCATCTCAGTGCTGGGTGAGCCGGCCCCCAACTCCCCCAGAGAGAAAATATTTCCTCTTCTACCAACTTTGAATTTATCTCCTCTCCGCTCCCAGCCATTGGCTCCCAATTGGCCTTTGTCTGCTAGCTCCAAGAGCCCTCTGGTCTCACGAACCTCCTCCTTTAGGTGCTTATCGGTTGTCTTTCCAGGCCTCGAGTCAGTCGTGGGAGGCAGTGTGGCCCAATGGGTAGTGCCCTGGCAGCCAGGACTCCTGGGTTCTCTCCCCAGTCCTGGGAGGGGAGTGGGGTCTAATGGGCCAGAGCAGGGGCGGCTGGGAGCCAGGACTCCTGGGTTCTCTCCCCAGCTCTGCCGGGTGACCTTGGGACAAATCATGTCACCTCTCTGTGCTTCAGTTTCTCCATCTGTAAAATGGGGCTACGTATACCAACATCCTTGGTGAAGGTCTTTGAGATCTCATCCCCCAAACCTTTCCCAGGTGGGCCACTCGATTACACGTGTATTTCATCTCCCGGCCCGGGAGGAACTCAGCTGGGAACCTTCCCTTGAAGTGCAGTGGCTGGGATTTGAGAGCTGATCCATGCTCTGCTTAGCCAGGGGAACTACCTGCAGCTACATAACAGCAGAGCCTAGAATTAAAAATAAAATAAAATAAGGATTTAACATTGCTAAGGATAATGCGGGCATTCAAAGTTGTGACAGTCAATAGGACTTTTGGAATAACTAGAGCTGGGAGACGTTTTTTGGCCAAAAGTTTTTTGGGGGTGAAATGGACAGATTCCGTGAAACCGTTTGCAGTTCCTTGTCAGTTTCAGCAGATGGTTTCGGTTGGAAAAAACCCGAAAATCAATCCCGAAAAAGTGAAAATGTTTCACCGTTCTGATTGCAAATGGCGGCTTGTTTCAAAACCTCCCTTGGTTTGATTGAAATGACAACTCAGAAGCGTTAAAAAACAAACCAAGGCTCAGAAGCAAAACGAAACATTTTGTTTGACCCCAGATGGGACTTTTTTTCAACTTTTGATTTGCCGAAAATTTCATAAACATTCAATTTTGACCCAAAACCTGAATTTTTTTCCCCTCCAATTTTTCAGACCTGCCAGTGAACCGAAAACTCCATTATTCACCCCGAAATAAGCAATAGTCGGAGGGGAGGGAAGGGAAATGAAACCCACCCTACTCTGGGGTCCGAACTCTGGGGGCTTGTGTGGGATCTTCCTTTCCCTGGGGGCAAGTTATTCCAGAACTGCCCACCGGGGGAAGAGAGGGTTGATCTGCCTTTCTCTGAAGCAGCTGGGACAGTCACTGGTAGAGGTGGGATACCAGGGTAGATGGGCCCACTGCACTGCTCTGCTCTGGGGCAGCTGTTCCTGTGTTCCCCACTGTGTGATTCTGCCAGCTATGGAAGAGGACCCATGAAATCCATCGTTGCACCTGCTCTGGACTGGGCAGAGATGCCATGGGGAGGACCGGATATTAAAATCAAGGATCGGGTCCCTTTAAAGGCAAGCAGGGTGCTTGCTACACACTGGCTCCTTGTTCCTTTCACGCTCCACTGTACACTGGATTGCAAGCTCTGTGTCTGCACAGTGGCTAGCACTGGGGGTGCTAGTGGGGTCTTAGGCCATGGTTGGTGCTCAGAGATGCTACCACAATCCGGATAATAAATAGCGTTAATTTACGACCTTTTTGGTGCCTAGAGATGAAGTCAGAACAAATGGATTCCCCTCGAAAGAGATCAGGGTTGTATTTCTGCTTTAAAATATTTGAGTCAGTTTTGGAGGCTGTTAGTGAAATGGGATGGAAATTCCACACCTCCCACATTTCTGAGGTAGAATTTTGGTTCTACTCCCCGACCCCAGTGAAATTTGAAATTGTAATGAACTTTTTTGTTTGGTTGAAAACTTTCATTGAAATATGGCTGGTTTTACTGGGATATGAAGTTTTACAACCACTGACGTGTGTTGAGAAATGCGGATAGAAAGTATTTCAGAGAGATTCAGAATTCTGCTTGAAAATATCAAAATTCAAAATGTTGACGGAAAATGTTTTGTTGAAATTGGAAACGGATGCAAAACTTCATTGGAATTTCAAAGTGTGATTGAGGAAAAATGTCAATGAGATTTGCCATCATGGGAGACAATATCAAAATTGAAATGTCAGTGAAAATGTTGTGGTGAAATTTGAAATTGATGAAAAATGTCATTGGAATTTTCATTTTTGTAGGGGGGAAATTTCAATGAGAGTCAAAATTCTGATGGAAAATATCCAAATGAGTAGTGCCACTGGAATTTTTGGGTTGAAATGCTTGTGATATTTTGAGGAGGAATTTTGTTGGTGCTCAAAATTGAGATGGAAAATAGCAAAAATTGAAATGTGGCTGAAAAGTTTTCACTGAAACTTGATATTTTGATGCACATTTTCATTGATATTTGAGGCATCCGTGAGAATGTTGGAGTTCAAATTTTGATGGAAAAATTTCAGAGAGATGAAATTTTGATGAAAAATGTCCCAATTTGAAATGTCAATGAAAAAAACCTTTCCTAAAATTTGAAATGGATGAAAAATGCACTGGAATTTTAATTGTGATGAAAATATTTTAATCACATTTGAAATTCTGATGGAAAACAGAAATTTACAATGTCAGTGAAAGTTTTTTGGGTGAATTTGAAATGCTGATGAATGTTTTCACTGAAATTTGAACTGTGGATGCGAAATGTTGCAATTCAAATTTTTGAGCAAAAATTTCAATAAGATTAAAAACTCTGATGGAAAAAATATTGAAATTCAAAACATGGATGAATTTTTTTTTTGGTAGAAATGTTGAACATTTTTACTGAAATTGGACCTTTTTGACCATTTTTATTGACGGGAAATGTGTCAATTCAATTTCCGATGAAAATATTACAATGAGATCTGGATGGAAAAGAAATATCAAAATTTGAAATGTCGAAAATATTTTCTTGGAATTTGAAATTGATGAAAAATTTCACTAGAAGTTTCAATGAAGAGTGAAAAAAATTCAATGCCATTCAAAATGCTCATCGAGAAGATCGACGTTTGGAAGGTGGATGAGAAATGTGAACATTTGAGATGTTCTGAGATTCCAAATTTTGGGGGGGAAATGTCGCAATCAACCACATTTGACATTTTGATGGGAAAAAGTTGAAATGTTGCAAGTTGTTTGTGGACATTTCAAACGTTGATGAAAATCTTCCCTGACCTTTGGAGGAGAAAAGTTGAGATTCCAGCTTTTGCATCACTAGAGCAAAGACAATGGAGCTAAGATTTCTGCCAGCTTCTCTCTGTCTGTCTGTCTAGCTTTCCCATGAGGCAATGGGCCAGGGAGAATGATGCCCTGTTATGGATAGTGTCTGGAGAGAATGACCTTCTGTGTTGTCCCCATGCCATGTCGACCTAAACTGGCCAATTTCCTCCAGCCAATAAACTGGTCACTGGCAATTTGTGATGTCTGGTGTGAAAAGGAAGCAGAATTTCACCCTCTCCCAAAAATCACTGGAGGCCAGCCTGGCCCTGAAGCATGTGCTGGGGATAAAGAAAGCCAGCCGGACCATCAAAATCAGTCTAGTTCTCTACCTCTGTGGGGCTGAATCGAATGACCCCTAACTGAGCCCTATATTTCCTGCTCTAGGCTTTCTCTCCGCTACCTATGAATCTACCTACAGCCCTGCTCTGCAGAGGCAGACATTCTTCCCCCACCCCGGTGGTGTCCCACGTGTGTTGCAGCTCCCAGGGATGGGGCTGTTCTAGCACTACTGGTGGCCAGGAGGGGTTCTGCGCCTTGAAGGGCCAGTGCCCCTCTCATGCAAGTTGCCCCCCAGAGGCCAGCGTTGTACAACCTCAAAGGACACTTGGCGGATTTGCAGCGACGCTGATGGGTTTTTTGCCTGTTATGGGAATGGCGTTAATAAAAACAAAGCTGGGCTTTAGAAAAGAAAACCCAGATCAATGTAGCTTGGAAGTGTGCGAACGTCTAGGAGATTCTCCGTTCCCGGGGGCCAGAACTGCAGCCTAGGGCGTGCTGTCCCACCTCAAGGAGGTGGGTGCTCATGGATTACTCGTTTGCCAACGTTGCTCTGGGGCAAGGAGATTCTGAGGTGGGCTTTCAATGCCGCCCGGCTGATCTGGACAT